CTTTCTTTCTTTCTTTCTTTCTTTCTTTCTTTCTTTCTTTCTTTCTCCCTCCTCCCTTCCTTCCACACCTGGCTTACCGTTTTGCATGTTGCCACCCGACATTTCATTTCTCGGATGTTCCTCATCTTGTCTTCCATTTGTTCTTTCTTCACCAAGGGCTCGAAGTACCTTTCCTGCATCTCAGCCTCAAACTTGAGATACGGGAGCAAGGAAGAGAGATTGAACCGGAGATTATAAAGTTTTGATCTCGCCAGGTAAAACAAATGGTATAAATGACATGAGTTATGCTGAAGACAAATTCCTTCCCTCCCTCCTTTCCCCATTTCACTGATGCTGTTTAGGGTGCAAAAATCAAAACCGCGCCACCACGTCTGAACTATGACACCTTCATTAAAACAGGAAACTCCCCAAACAGAATGCCAGCATCTGACTTCACCTAACATCCTAGCTCAAATGCCTTGGGGGCAAATCGCTTGGAGGCAGATTTATTTTTCTTGTGCTAATCAGGCTGTTTGCTGCAAGAAGTAAGTCAATAACTATAAATGCCTGTAGAATGTTCAAATGATTAGATGTATTTTTTAAAGACTGCTTTATTATTGTTCTAGACAGCTGAACAAAATGAAGAAGCTTTTTTAAAATAAATGCTTGATCTGAAGAGGCCCAGTGCTATTTTATCTTCTTTTAAATAGGGGAGAATAACTATACTTCCAGAAAGCACATCAATTTTAACAGCATCTGTATAAGTATACTCTGAAATGTAACACTACAAAGTGTATATTGTCTGTACGGTTTGCTGTTAGCTGCAAGGAGGCAAATTGCTGGGAGGCAGATTTCCCCCCCTTGTTTTCCTCCCCAAAAGCTAGGTGCGTCTTATACTCCGAAAAAATATGGTCATTAAATCACTTTAGTGTTTTTTTCCCCCTTTGATAGGTACAAATCTCATTTCCTATTTTACGTGCAATCAGCACTACTGTAAAATTTATTCAAATTGGATCACCAAAGTTTTTTTTTTTAAGTTAAGAGTTGTAGCCTTCCAAATCCCCTACCAGAGTTCATCCTCGTTTAGCAACGTTTCACAACCGTTCCAGTTATGACGGTGACGGAGAAGGGCCCTTTACGATCCAATCTACCAAATTTAAAAGGGCCTGGATGTTTACAAACTTTCCGCGAAAGAAAGGAAAACGGAGGCCGAGAACGTAAGCGCAGCCACGCTTGGGCTCTTGTCGATTCCTCGACCGATTCCTGGCCGCTCCCCAGGTGGATTTACGTAGGATGGGCTCACCTCCTTAAGGACCCCGTTGTGCCTGGAGCGAGCATTCCGGATCTCTTGAAACTCCGCCGATTCCAGGTATTCAAGCTGCTGGCGCCTCTTCTTTTCCAGGGGCTCTAACGCTCCCCCCTCTGTGGAAACCCACAGAGACACAAATTCAGACTTCTGTAGTGTAGCTGGGCAAGAGGATTCCTTTAGCTAATCTCGGTTAGCCAGACTGAATTGTTCTGAGGATCTGTTTATCTTCGCTGTTGTTTAACCGGTCAAACTATTTTTTCTTTTAGATATGAAATCTCTCTCTCTATCATCTTATCTATCTATGTCATCTATCTATTTATATCTAATTATCTCTAATTATCTATATCTATCATCTATCTATATCTAATTATCTCTCTCTCTAATTCATCCCATTTTACAACCTTTCTTGAGGCAGTTGTTAAGTGAATCCGGCTTCCCCACTTGACTTTGCTTGTCGAAAGTCAGGCGACCTTGAGAGATTTATAGAAATAATGACGGTGGCGTAGGAATTAAATAAATTCAGGGAGTCCTTGACTTAATGAAAGTTCATTTAGCGACTGCTTGACGTAAAAAAAGGGACTTGTGGTTGTTTTTCACACAACCGTTACAGCAGCCCCGTGATCAAAATTCAGACGTTTGGCAGCTGACTCACTTTTACGACGGTCACAGCGTCATGCAGTCCCCTTTGGCGACCTTCTGACAAGTCAACGGGGAAGCCAGATTCACTTAATGACCATGCTATTAACTTACCCACTACTCAATGCTAAGCGATTCACTTGATGACTGCGGTGAGAAAGGTCGTAAAAACGGGGCAAGGCTCTCTTAACAAATGTCCCGTTTAGCCACCAGAAAGTTTGGGCTCAGTGGTGGCCGTAAGCCGAGGACCACCTGTAAACAGGCAAAACAAAAGTAACTCTTGGATGACTGTCATCGAATCTAGAGTTTCCCGCACCTTCTACTTCCGTGATATTTTTTTCCACTCTTTCGGAAATCCCTGGGACGTCAACATCCGATCGTTTCCGTTTGACGCTGTTGGGATCTACTTTGGAAATGATCTGGCCTTTGGCGCGCAGTTTCTGTATCGCTGCCATCTAAGAGAAAGCATTAGAGAGAAACATAGCCAACCACTTGAATTAAATCTCAGACGAAAAGCCAGCACGACAACAGGAAGTTGCACCCCGAACACCCGATGAAACCCAGCCTTTCAGAAACCATAATTTCTAAAAAGTGACACACGTCCAGTGCTCACACATTCGTTCCCCACAAGTTAAAAATGTGAAATCGTATGTTATACAACAAGATATTAAAATTGCCCATGTATCTTACATTTCCCTCCTCTGAACAAAAGAAAAATTGGGGTGGGGGGGTGGGAGGCTTGTGCCATTTAGCATCCAATTCTCCATCTGTGTTTCAAGTAGAAATTCTGGGGGAATTCTAGAAGGAACCCCAATTCTTACATAATAATAAGTCACTGAAACCAACAAGCAAGCCAATATTCATGGTTTGGAGAATTGGCAGAAAGTTTATTAAAGTGGCTAAAAAAATGTTTTAGCAGGCAATGCTGGGAAATCAAGATCTTAAAAAGGACCATATATAAACCAATTCCTCCTTCACTGTAAATAATTACAATCAAGAAAGGAATATAATTATTGATTTTTTAAAGGCTATTTATGATTTTAAGACAGTTTAAATATTATTATTTAAATTTTTAAAAAAAACAATTGTTTTATGGTATTTCTCCTTCTCTACTTAAAATAAGTTGGAGGTCACTTTTGTTATATATTTGATGGATTATTTGGTCGACATTGGTAGCCTGTTCTGTTATTCCCCTCCTCCATTTTCCCCTTCTGCTAGCTTGCATTTTAATGTTTTTGAAACTTTTAATAAAGACATTTATTTATATATATATAAATGACTGTGTGCGCGTGTGTGTGTGTGTTCCAGCATAACTGTGGAACGCCTCGAGCAATTTCCAAACTTGGTACACAGATGATTTACTCTCTGGGAAAAAGGTACTGTTGGGGGGAGGGTAAGACACCCCTAACACCCCTCGGGGTGTGTGTTCTGTTAAGATACAGCCTGTTGTGCCTTAAAATGGCTTCTACTGTACGGTGCTGTGGAGTTGCCATGGTAAACAGATTCACAGTTCTCCACAAAGGGGCTCCCTCAGGTAAGGGGGAAAATCTAGCATTACAAATTGCGGCGACGTTCATGGAAGGAGGCTTGGGATACACACACACACACATACACACAAACAAACACACACAGAAACAAACACACACACAAAGAAACTGTTTCATTTTATATCCTGCCTTTTTGGACATAAGGGAATTACGAGCCGTGGGTCCCCGTTACCTTTTTGGCTTCTGCCGAGCGGCTCAGTTTGGGGGCCGGAGGGGGGCAATCGTCAAAGAAGAGAACGTCGTCCCCTTTAGAGAGACCCGAACCAAGTCTGGGGGTCTGGGGGCTGGACAGCCGTGCAGCTTTAGGAAACTCAGACGCTGGCGTTGGCGACTGCAGCACAGCCTGCCCCACAGAAGTGGGTGAGACTGGGGTCTTTTTAACCGCAGGGTCCTGAAGAAATCTGCAACGAAGGGTGAAAATCAGGATTCTAGTTTTGGGTGAAGGAGAGATAAAACGCCAGGAAGTATCAGCTCCAACGGCTGCTTTTAGCATTTCCCGGGAAGGGATGAAGGTTTGATGATGACAATCCACAAATCCTGGATCAGACCTTTATGGTTTTTTCCCCCAGGCCGTCACTCTGCCGAACAACTAATTCCCACAACCCCATCAATCTACCCAGTAAGGCTGTTACTATTGGCCTTCTCATCTTTCCTTATCTTCTCATGAACGCAACTCAGTTGCTAGTATTTTTACGGTTTATATTGATTTATTTAGTTTCCGTATAAAGTCACTTTTTTTGGTAACAGGGAACAGTCATTAAACGAATGGTTGTAAGTCGAGGACTACAAATTATAGGAGCATCAAGCCATGTCTGCCTACAGAAGAAAACAGAAAGGTGTTGTTACCTCCTCTGGATTTCGTCAGATCTTCGCTTCCTGGCCGCCAACATTTGCTGTTTCTGTAGCTTCAGCAGAGCTGAAGGAGAGATGGATTGGATAGCTGGGGTGGGCTTCCCTGTAGATCCTGAAAAGGAAGGAAGGAAGGAAAGAAAGAGAGGGAGAAAGGGAGAGAGAAGGAAAGAAAGGAAGGGAGAAAGGGAAAGAAAGAACGGAAAGAGAAGGGGAGAGAGAAAGAAAGGAAGGGAGAGAGAAAGAAAGAAGAGAGGGAGAGAGAAAGGGAGAGAGAAGGAAAGGAAGGGAGAGAGAAAGAAAGGGAAAGAAAGAAAGGAGAAGAGAAAGAAGAGAGGGAGAGAGAAAGGGAGAGAGAAGGAAAGGAAGGGAGAGAGAAAGAAAGAAGAGAGGGAGAGAGAAAGGGAGAGAGAAGGAAAGGAAGGGAGAGAGAAAGAAAGGGAAAGAAAGAAAGGAGAAGAGAAAGAAGAGAGGGAGAGAGAAAGGGAGAGAGAGAAAGGAAGGAAGGTAGAGAGAAAGAAAGAAGAGAGGGAGAGAGAAAGGGAGAGAGAAGGAAAGGAAGGGAGAGAGAAAGAAAGGGAAAGAAAGAAAGGAGAAGAGAAAGAAGAGAGGGAGAGAGAAAGGGAGAGAGAGAAAGGAAGGAAGGTAGAGAGAAAGAAAGAAGAGAGGGAGAGAGAAAGGGAGAGAGAAGGAAAGGAAGGGAGAGAGAAAGAAAGGGAAAGAAAGAAAGGAGAAGAG